AATGATAAATAAAGATTTTAGTGTATTATTATTATCATTACGAGTAGATTACCTATAATTATTATATTACTATATTAGGTATACGTTAGGTAATAGGTATACCTACTACAAACATATTATTAATGTAAATAAATATTTGTAATTACTTATTATCATATTTTAATATAACATTAACAGTTGAACTTAAAAAATAATACACGGTAAATTAATATTAATTTAATTGCGCTGTATTTATTTTATTTACCATTTATTAGATTTTACTATAAGTATTATATTTAAATAAGTAATAATTCAATAACTTCAAATCAAGCTATGTTATAATACAGTGTCTACGGTCTACATGTTGGGACATAAATTTAAGTAAACAGTATTTTAATTTATAATCTGTAGTTCGTAGGTACGCGAGGGTATTGAAAATATTACGGCGGCATTTGCGTATAATGAATTATATAATGATACGAATGGTACTGGACGAACGTTCATAGACAAATAAACGGCGCTCCCGAAGTCCCGAACGAGCACTCGTCGCCGCCGTCGGCCGGTTGCGAATTGTAGGCGTGACTTAAGCGGTCCCTACACGATCAATAATATTGCACAATAATCGATATTGCGCAATATTATTGTGCGTCTGATACTAATATTGTGCATACTGCGCAAGTATTGAATGAAAATTGTGCTTGTTTGAAAATAATTGCACAATATTGAATAATTTGTACGTGTAGGCATAATATTGTACAATAATTGTTTTTGACGGTTCAGTTGAATTCTAGTCACCATGGCGAAACGCAATGAAGACCGCGAATTTATTATTGAACTATTGCAATTATATCGCCAACATACAGCTTTATGGAAAGTTAAAAGTACTGAATATAGTGATAGAAACCTGAAGAATGAGGCATATAATGTATTAATTGAAAAATATAAAGAAGTGGACCCAAATGCAGACAAAGAAATTGTGAAAAAGAAAATTAATAGTCTGAGAACTAATTATCGAAAAGAGCTGAAAAAAGTAAAAGCGTCCTACAAATCTGGAAGTGGTACTGATGATATATACGTGCCTCCGTTATGGTATTATAATGAATTTAATTTTTCTACAAGACCAAGAAGTACCCGTGGATGGATCATCTACAATTATTTTACAAAGCGAGGATGAGACACAAGACGACGTAGACCTCTCAATAAACGCACAGGAGCAAAACATACCAGAGGTAATTGGAAGTTTAATTATTTATTACAAATAAACAATTTTATAAGAACATACATTTAAGAAACACATTTATCATACATTTACATTTTAAATAATATTTTCTTGCCAAGTAACTTTCCCTTCGTTGTTAAAATAATCACAGAACTTAAGTCTAATATTTTTCGCGGATATTGATGCATTTCTTCCTCGTAGAGGTTGTAGACAGTGTAATTGAGGATGTTCTATATTAACGTCATTTTGAGGGTCATCAAAATTATTGCATTTTGAAATATCTGAGTATTGATCTTTTATTTTTCTTCTTAAAAAATTATGAAGATAACAGCAAGCTAAAACTATTCTTTGTACTTTTTCTGGTGATAAATTTATTGTCGTCAAAAGTAATCTAAAACGTGATACTAATATGCCAAATGTATTTTCTACTATACGCCGAGCTCGGGATAGCCTGTAGTTAAACACTCTTTCTTCTCTAGTTAAATTTCTTTGAGGAAAAGGTTTCATAAAATTATCTTTTAGTGCAAATGCCTCATCTCCGACAAAAACAAATGGTAATTGATAATTACTGTTGGGCATTATTTTTGGAGGAGGGATATTTAATTCTCCTTTTTCTAATAACTGACCAAATTTTGTATTTGTTATCACGGCTCCATCTGACATACGTCCATTTGCTCCTACATCAACCATAATGAATTCATAGTTTGAATCTACGACTGCCATTAGTACAAGACTAAAAAAATGTTTGTAGTTGTAATATTGAGAACCAGATCCTTTAGGCTTTTGTACTGCTATGTGCTTTCCGTCTACGGCACCGATGCAATGAGGAAAATTCCATTTGCTTTCAAATCCCTTAGCAACTGCACTCCAACCTTCAGAATTCTTAGGAAGCTAAAATAATATAAATATTTATGTTAGTGACATTACGTTTAATTAAGGACAGTTAATTATTTTTTTTAATATCATCTATGATACTTGGAACTCTGTGAAAAATTTACCCGTCTATATGTTTAGGAACAATACACAAATGTTAAGCTAAGACCGAAACCAACCATACAGCCACCACCAGCAAAAAAACAAATGGTTACTTCTCAAAAGGAATTACTAAATATAGCATGTGAGTATTTGAAAAATCACGATGAGTATGAAAACCTCGGAATATCATGGGCAAATGAGATAAAAAAAATGAGAGTTGATCAACAAATGCATGCAAAAAAAGCCATTCATGATATTTTGTATGAAGGTCAGTTAGGTACTTTACATAGAAACTCCGTAAAAATCAATGAACCTTTAAGTAACCAAATAACACCTCAATCCTCAGTATGGTCATTTCCATCAACTTCGTCAACACCATCACCACAACTGACAACACCACAACTTCATACAGAGCAGTATCACTCTTTGGATAGTATTGACAGTGCAGCAGCATATTTTTCAAATTACTCCGATAAGTAAATTTGTTTATTTTCAATTATTTAAAGTATGTTTAATTTTTTTTTTCAATGATAAAGTGTGTATTGTATAATATAATAAAACAACATTTGTTTACCTGAATGTATTCTTGCAGTTTTGTTATCATAGCCTCGCATGTTTCCAAAATAATAGAGCTGATAGTTTGTGGTGCTATTGCTGTGCTAAATTTTAAGTCTTCGAAACTTCGACCTGTTGCTAAGAATCGGAGCGTTGTTGCAAGTCGTTCTGTTGGTGAAATAACCTTTCTCATCACGGTATCTTGTTTTGTAATTATTGGAGATATCATTTCCAACAACTCATTAAAACTGTCATTATTCATGCGTAAAAAATTTTGGTAATCCCTTGGTTCACTTAGCTTTAATTCACGTAGTAAATTTTCACTAGTAAATTCTTCTCGTTTTAAATACCATTCCTTAGCCCAACGCCGCCGCTTTGGTTCTTTTGCGGATGCAAAATATAAAACAATTGCGAGACACGCTTTTCGTTTTTTAGACATAATAATAATAAATTATTATTATAAATAATTTTAAAATCTAAAATCTAAAATCACTAATCTGCTCTCAGTGAATAGTTATTTCAAACTGAATATATTGCACAAAAACATTGAATCGTTTGTATTCAAAAATATTGTACAATATAATATTGCACAATATTTATATTGCGCAATAATATTGATCGTGTAGGGGCCGCTTTAAACGCCGCGCGCTTGCGGATCGTGAAAACACCTAACAGCGCATCCACTCGGTCGGTCCTCTGAACGTCAGATTTTATGTAAAAATCCATAAACTCTCAGTTATTAATATATTTTTTTTAATTATTAATATTATAAGTTTGTGAAAAATATTTTAATTATTATTGCATTTCGATTTTTATTTTTGGATTTTAATAACTCGCGCCCCATTCGGGTGAGCGTTAAATATTAAACATTTTTTTAATAGAACAATTCTATTAAAAATTAAGAATATAGTTATATTCTATTATATATGCTAATTTCATTTGACATACTGAGACAACATATTATAATATTTCCTTTATTGTCAAGAACATGAATACTATTGAGATATTTTTCAGTAAAAGTACCGGTTGTAATTATTAAATCATTAGCTATTTTACAAATTTCAAGCCATGTTGGTGATTCTAGAATTTTAGAAGTATAAGGGTTTCCATTTCCACTAAATTCTTGTCTTTGATCAATAATTATAATATTTCCTTTAATTGGAACTTCATTTAGATTATATTTCATTATTTTAATTTTACTATTATTATTATTATTATTATTTTCATAGTATTCATATTTATCAAACTTAACAAATATTTCATTATTTAATATAGAGTTTTCTATTTCTTTTTGTATTTTATTATCTTGATATTTATTAAAATTTTTGATAGTTGTTTCCATTATTTTATTATATTTTTTAATTTTTAAATTAATTTATTCAATTTATTTTTAGGAAATATTGCATTTCAATTTTTATTTTTAATAGAACAATTATATTAAAAAATATTTTTATTATTATTATATTTCAAAAGTTTTGCGGAAAATGTTTTAATTATTATTGCATTTAATAAGTTTTGGGAAAAATATTTTTAATTATTATTGCATTTCAATTTTTCTGATCTTTTTGCACATTGTTTTCTTTGTGATATTTTACTGATATATTATGAGCTGCGCTAACTGCGCCAGGATTGGTATATATATACTACTTATACGTAATCATATTATAATATTCGCACCGCGTAAATATAAATATTTCGAGCCACTCGAGCGCTTCCTCAAATAGTAATAATAAAAATATCAATAATAGTAATATCGAGTGAGTGACCATGAGCGTGACCAATAGATATATGACTACCAGGGCCGGCGTTAGGGGGGGGGGGGGCAAAGGGGGACATTTGTCCAGGGCCTCGCGCATTCAAGGGCCTCGCGCTCAAAATGTACATAGGAAAATATTTTATATGAAAATCTTGTACTAAAACAAAACAACAATATAATATTATATTAAATATTTATGCGTCAACGTCGATCGGTATGGCACGTCGCACGGTATGGAAACCCCGGATTCCTAGACAGTTAATCGCATTATTAAATTTAATCAATCATTACCCGATATTGCGAGCGGCTGTCAAATCATCAGTAACTGTTGTCACCACGTCCGATAACAGTGTATACTGGCTATACTACGAACTACGATAACGTCGATAACTATATAATATAAAATTATTTAATGTACCTATTTTGAGGATTTGTGTGCTAACGAGTAACGACAACATTTGAAGTTGAATATTCTCAATTGTTTTTCGACTGTCGTCCTCGTCTAAGCTGACAAGAAGAGTTTGTAAATTTAAATTTATTTCTCCACTCTCCAGGTAATAATTGTTGAATAATGAATACATTTTATAGTAAAACACTAGTTTAGTAATTTAAAATACCTTCTGAGCGTGTACACACAAAATACCTTGATCGGTGTATTGTGTAATAACATCGGAATTGATCAATATAATTATATAAAATAATTTTTAATTTGTATATATTAGTATATTAGAAAACGGAAAAATCTAATATTCATAAACTATAATAACTCAATTTATACGAATTATATTGAAGAAATCCGACGTTATTGCACCAAGTTTATTGTTCTCCTCAATGGCTTTATATTATATACTATATAATTTTTATTAACTTATTTATTTTTAATCTCATTAAAAAAAACATGATATATTTCATAAAATATTGCTCTGATCTTTAAACACATACCCCTTTTTTGATAGCACTTCGTATTCTTATGGTACTTTGACATTTCTCATTTTAAAATTTTAAAATTCAAAAAATTACAGACTACCCAAATACGGCAAACGTGATTTTATTCAAAATGAGTAGTCGGCAGCGAGATAAGTATCGTAAATTTGATTCAGGCCACCAAAAACGACAGAAAAAACAAAACCTTGAAAAAAATCTAAAAAAGCAACGTGGTGCGTTAGACAAATTTGTTTTTTCTTCAGATACTCTGGAGAGAGTAGCTGAAGAACAGAATGAAATTGAATGTTATGAAGAAGAGTTAATATTGGAAGGTGATACAGAGCAACCCTGTTGTTCCAAAGAATTTGTGACTCAAAATAGTATTGAGATAGTTGAAAAATCTAGTGACTTAACAATAATTAATAATGAAAAAATAATTAACGAGATCAAAGAAGCAGAAATAAATTTTAGTGATCCAGATCAGTGGCCACAGTCCTTAACCCATGATATGCGAGTTAAAATTGTTCTTAGTAAATCTGAAAAAATTGAATTCTACGAAAGTTATCCAAAAAATGATCAAAATAGGAAATTTAGTAATAAAATGTTTTATAGAATAATGAAAAATGGTGAAAAAATATCAAGAAATTGGTTGTTGTATTCAAAATCACGTGATCGAGTTTATTGTTTTTCTTGCAAACTTTTTAGTTCACAATTAAAAATTCCTAACCCTGGTAGTTTAACTAATAATGGAACCTCAGATTGGAAACATATAGCATTAAAATTGGAACAACACGAAAATTCTTCTTCTCATAAAGAAACAATTCTCTCTTGGAACGAATTAAAAACACGAATTATTAAAAACGAAACTATCGATGATTTGCATTTAAAGGAAATAGATAAAGAAAAACCATCATTGCCGATGGAGCTATATTATCATTTAGTGAACGATTTAATCAATTTAAAATTTATAGCGACAATTTCAGTTTTCTATACAATATTGGTGAGCTCCAAAAAATAACTAATGACGACCTTATGAAGAGTTGCTTAGATTTACAAAATTATCTAAGTGACGGAGAATTATATGATATAGTTGCTTCTGAATTGTATGAAGAGTTACTAGTTTTTCGTCATACAATGAAAGAAGATTCTACGCCAATAGAAGCACTCAGTTTTTTAAAAACAATGCCTGGTGCTTTTACAGCTTTTCCTAACATAGTAATTTCACTCCGAATTTTGTTAACCATACCAATCACCTCAGCGTCAGCAGAAAGGAGTTTCTCAAAGCTCAAAATTATCAAAAATTACCTAAGAAACACAATGTCTCAAAAACGAGTGACTGAATTGGCTACTATTGCAATTGAAAATGAAACAGCAAATACATTGAATTTTAAGGACGTCATAGAGTTGTTTGCGTCCAAAAAATCAAGAAAAAAATTTTAAATATTCTATATTAATTTTGTTTTTTTATTGCTTAAATTTCTAATGTTTAAATGTATTATTTTATATTAAATTTAGTACATACAATTACAGAACCTTTGTACATTTGTAAACCTTAGTAGCTTAGTATATATTTTGTAAGTTATTTATATGTTTATAAGTTAACAAGTGTAATAAGTCCAAAAAATCAAGAAAACAATTTTAAATATTCTATATTAATTTTGTTTTTTTACTGCTTAAATTTCTAATATTTAAATGTATTATTTTATATTAAACTTGTCATTTTATAGTATAGGATTTAGTACATAAAATTACAGAACTTTTGTACATTTGTATACCTTAGTGACTTAGTATATTTGTAAGTTATTTATATGTTTGTAAGTTGACAAGTGTAATACGTTTAAAAGTAATCATTAAAAAGTTGAAAATTAATATTTACTAATGTATTTTTATTTCAATAAACATCTTAGGTGTAACTAGGGTCAACATTTTGGGAGGGCTTAAGTCCATAATGATTTAAAATTGTTTTATTTGGGACCCACATTTTTTATGATTTTTTGCCTTAAATTACACCTATGTTCTATGCGATATGGATATTGGTTAAATAAGTTTTGCCCAGGGCCTCGCAAAAGGTAGCGCCGGCCCTGATGACTACGTATATTAATAATCCTAAAATAATATAGTTTAGATTTGTGCTGTTATTTGAATAACACCAGTACACCACAAATGTGCGATATAGATATATGTGGACTTCCGGCGGGTGCAAGCGTGTGAATCACAATAGGCTTAACCGCAGGACGATGTATGGTCTTAGAATTTATGGAAGGGATAAGGGACAGAGATCCATCGAGGAGAGCTGATGGACAAGCGTTCATCAGACGAACAACCAGCCTCAACTTGAACAGTCACTAATTACTCACTAGTCACATCTCGCTTAAGTCATTAATTGGACTTAGAATATTTTCCATAATAACTGTTTTACACAAAATAAATACAATTATTACCATCAAAGAGGTTTTGTTCAATTTATACTTCCATTTCTACGAGTAACGCGGAGTAGCACGTTACAATAGTGACCTACTCTATGACCGAGGTCCACTGATATACACTATACAGCAGGTTAACTTCCCCGGTTTTTACATATTGTAAATCGTGGATAGGTACTTGAAGTTATTATTATTATATTATATTTAAGATTAGATTTACATATACTTACGTAGATATAGACAAAACATTACTTTGAATTATTGTTGAAGTCACCAGATTTGATCCGTTTTCCACGAGTTGTATACTAATAAATATCAAATATCATAATATATGTGATTGGTATTTATAGTATTATATATGGGTAATATATTTTCAAATTGAAAATTGAATACCATATTTGCTATATAATAGTTTACAGTCGTTGCCAGATAAATTGAGCCGGTGGCGGCGGGGCGATAACCAGTGGTTCTCCGTATTTCAATACTATTGCCGAAAATACATCAATAAACCAACAATTGTTACAAATACCTATATAAAAATATTAGTTGTTCAGCATGTTAATTAATTACGTTACCTCCATAACTGAACAATCTTTCACAAGGTACGCTAGTGCCTTGTATACATAAATATTTTATTGATAATAAAGATAAATTCGGAAACTCTGATTTATATATTTTCCACCAAGCGAGAGGGTCTGAATCTAGGTCTGCTTTGGGAATTTGAATATATTTTTCGATTTCCGCTTCAAAAATATTTTGGTTATTTAATGTTGATTCAGAAGGTACATTGTTGCTTAAAATTAAACCTATGCCTATAAACTGTGCAAAATGTTTCATTATAGTTATGTGTCAAATATACTTTTTTTTAAATATTATAAACTTACCAGAATAACGTTTTTTTTTTCGATGAAAGCGATTTATTATTAATTATTTCTCCTGATTGATCCCCAGATTTTTCAAGTCTTCTATTAGGAATTGTTTTATAATACTTAAATCACAATCATTCAAACAATATGCTTTATATCTGGGATCTAAAAACGATGCTAATTGTATCAATTGTTTTGTTTTAAAGTTTTCAAAGTAGCGTTTAGATGATTTTTCAAATATAGTATCTGTTTTTAAGTGTTCTACGTGGTTGAGTGCTTGCGATAGTTCTATACTTAAAGTTTCATCTGTATCACCATCTTCTTCGGTATTATAATTTATTTGAGAAAAAAAAGTAGAAGATTCTTCTGGCAATATATTTTTATCAAAATGAATGTCTTCAGTGTTGTCAAATAGTTGAACACTATCCGTTTCTAAATTAGCACATTGTATAGAATTATGACAATTATGTACTATATTTTCTGTTTTATTTAAATTTAATTTTAGTTGCTCATATACTGGCCATAATCCTGAAATGGTAACATTAGTTTCTGATGCTAAAGCTTCACCCAACTGTTTTAAAGGAACCATTAAATGTAATATACTACGTTCAATTAACTTCAACTGGTTAAAAGTGGGTAAAATTTGTTGGTGTTTAGTGCATATTAAAATTTTTTTCAACGCTTCATTCTGTGTATTTAAAAAGTTTAAACATGGAAGTAGTGACCACCAACGAGTGTCAGACGAAGACGGTCGAACTAGAGGAGGAAGATCTAAATTTGTCTGTTCATTTAATAATGCACGTTTCATTTTGGAACTGTAGTGGAAAACCGATCTTACTTTTACTGCATTTTCAGTACAATATTTAACAGGTTGGAAGGAAAATACATTTGTAACACCAGTATTTAAAACATGTCCAAAGCAAGGAACATGATTAAATGACATTAGATCAACAGCTTTTAAAATATTTGATCCACAATCTGTGGTGATACCCGCGATCTTAGATTCGTCAATATCCCAGTCATGTAATATTTGCTTGATACTATTTTTAATATTAAAACTATTGTGATCGATATTCAAAGAAGTGCATGCCAAACAAAAATTTTCGAATTCCCATTCCTCATTTATAATATGGGCTGTTAATCCAATAAATGGATGACCATTTCCTGATGTCCAACAATCAGTTGTGAGGGCAAGATACGATACACCAAATATACCAATATGCACATGGTAATATGGTATATATTTTCTACGATTTGCACGTTTTTTAAATAAGTTTAATACTGTTTAATAATAAGTTTTTAATAATACTGTACGTAATGCCTTCACCAATATGTGTTGTAATAAGTTGCAAAAGTCGGAATGGAATTTCGAAACACCATTTCCCCAAAAATGATTTACCACGATTTGAAGTGTGGGTTCAGAGGTGTGGTAATCCAAAATTACTGACCATGACACCTGATCAAATTTATAAATGTTATTTTGTTTGTGATCTTCATTTTGATACAGATTGTCATAGTGAGGGGACAAAATTACTGAAACGAAATGCAATTCCAACATTATGTCTACCAGTTCGTGAGTTAATTATTGTGTGAACCATATTTATGTTAAATGTTTGTGTTAAATTATTATAAATAAATATTTTATGTAACTTTTAATAAATGATATCAATGTAGATATTCGATCATAAACATGTTAAATTAGTGTAAGTAGATACATAGTTTAAATGTTGACTACCCATCCAACAATAAGTGTAATTAAGTACCTAATTGTCAAACTACATGTGTTCCGGTCAAAGTTCTGGTAAATTAAATTTATTATAATATATTGCTTTATTGAATCTGCCATTTAAGTATTTGCTTCGCCAACTGCACAGGGGCGTGCTCAGCTTTTTCAATGGGGGGGGGGGGGTGAACCGTATTTTGTTTTGTTGATTATCATAGACACAAAATGTTCTTATAGGTATATACGTTGGTATTTTAGAAGTAGTACCTACTATTGTTATTCTAAAATTATCACTGAAAACTTTAAAACTTTATTCTATATAGCTAAACATAAAATTCAAAATGTATTAATGTTTTATATATGCAGACATGTTAAAATTATGGGTCTAAAGACCTAAATTACAAATTCAAGTTTTCTTGGTTTCTTAGCTATTTCATCTAAGACTTCATCTGGCGTTAATCCATTCAAACTGTCCTAAAATAAAATGTAAGTACCTATAGGTATATTCAATTTCGGTTAAACTAATAAGTTGAAGAGTATTTTACTTCAAGCATTGAGTTTCTTGTGTATGTCTTCACCCTCTTTAATGTTGAAAATGTTCTTTCTGGGGTGGATGTTGAAACGGGTAGGACACATGCAATTTTTAATAGCTTATTCAAATTTGTATAAATAGAGAAACTGCAAATTTGGAGAGCATCTAGGCCAGTTTTAATGACTTCAGAATTTTCCAATAATTTTGTTCGCCAAATTTTTATTTCAGCTAAACTGTTGTCTTTATTTATGTGTGGTGAATAAAAATCTGCCAGATTTTTAAAGGATTCAATTTCACTTGTATTTAAAAACTGATTTTTTGAAAAAATAGTCACAAATCCTATACTATAGTACCAACCACGAACTAAGATATACTAGATATAACTAGATAAGATAACTTAGTTCGTGGTACCAACTATATATATTTTATATCTTTGATAATTATTACATAACTAACAAATTAAAACCAATTATGCATTACCTTTTTTTTTTTCGAAAAAAGCGAATCAAGCAAGAAACTTAAGTAAATGCATAAAAAAAAAGTTCATGGGGGGGGGATATGACACCCTCCCCCCCCCTTGAGCACGCCCCTGCAACTGCATGATTGCATGATAATATTTATTATTTATTGTATATAAACCCATTATTATAATCAGGGTTAGTAAATTGTGGTTATTGATTTTTATCTTATTATATAAATAATTGTATACCTATATTAAAATGTAATATTTTTTCCAAATTTCTATAGTAAGTAACATATTAAACCTGGTAATTGGTGGGTCACATATTGGGTTGATAGTTGATTCCAAATACTGTATTTAATACTTTTTACATTCAATCAGATTATATATTTATATTAAACTATGTATAATATGCTTTTTTTAAAATTTTTTTATATACTGACAACATGTCTTGACAAATTACAATATTTTATATTTTAATTGGTTTACAGGTTCGGCGATACACAGCCAAGTTGATTTGCAACAGTCTATAAATTCTTCCAATTAAACCAAACAACTCAGATGATACTTGTAAGTATTATTATAATTATTATATCAAACTTGAAAGATTTTATATTTTAATTGGTTTACAGGTTCGGCGATACACAGCCAAGTTGATTTGCCACAGTCTATTTTTCCAATTAAACCAAACAACTCAGATGATACTTGTAAGTATTATTATAATTATTATATCAAACTTGAAAGATTTTATATTTTAATTGGTTTACAGGTTCCAAACAACCAAACAACTCAGATGATACTTCGATGTCAATTAGTGTTTCTCCTATAACTTTTTGGTCGAAGACTGATTGTTAGTATTCTAAAGAATTTCAATAAATATTAATGATTTTTAATATTTTATGTATTTTTCTAGTTACCGACCTTGATGGAATACAACCACTTCAAACACCTGAAGAATTTAAGAATTTAAGGATTTCCTAGTTCTACTTCTACTCAAGAAAAGTATACTCTTCCAAGGAGAAAACGGAAAGGCTGTCTTAAAGAAATCAATTTTTCTCAAAAAAAACATATGACACCAAGAAAACAATATTTATACAAGGCAGTAGTGGACCTAAAAAGAACATTATCTATTTCAAATAAGCGACATTTAACCACTAAACAATTGTTGCGTCGTTCTGAAAAATGTATTAGAGAGCACAATTTATTGTTTAACAATTTGAATGACAGTACAAAAATATTTGTGCAAAGTCAAATGAAATCTCAAAGCTTAAAACCACGTGGAAGCAGATTTTCCCTTGACGACAAAAGTTTTGCATTGGCGGTGTATAAAAAGAGTGCTAAAGCATACAGGATGATGCCTTCAGTATTTGCTTTACCCTCTAGAAAATCTATAATGGATTTACTTAGGAAAATTCCTTTAGAACCTGGCATAAATTCCCAAATTATTGAACATCTAAAACTTGTGGTTAGTGGGTTCAAAAATGAATTGGACAAAACTTGTGTGCTACTATTCGACGAAATTTCACTGGCTGCTGGTATTCATTATTCTCAATCTGAAGACAAAATAATAGGAATCGAAGATCTTGGAAGAAATGTTCGTAGGACAAAGTTTGCTGATAAAGCATTAACATTTATTGTACGGGGTGTAAAACGCAAATTTAAACAGCCTATAGCATATTATTTTGCAGCAAGCGGAATCAAAACACCTGATCGCGTTGTAGCACTCAAGGAAGTGATAAGTGCTGTTCAATCAACTGGTTTAAATATTGTTGGTACCATCTGTGACCAGGCTCCTACCAATGTTGCAGCCATCAATATTTTAATGCGAGAAACTGTACAAAATTATGTAAAAAAGGGTATTGAAAAGCAGTCTTTTGGGTTTGAAATAAATGGACAAGAAATAGTACCATTATATGATGCACCACATTTACTAAAGGGTATTCGCAATAATTTAGTTACAAAAGACTTGGCATTTACGATGAATGGTACAAAAAGAATAGCCAAATGGAAGCATATTATCGATTTCTATAAAATTGATAAATACCGTCTTGATGTGGGTGAAAGAATGGTACCAAAACTGACGGATTCTCATATTTACCCCGAAAAAATGAGGAAAATGAAGGTTTCGGTTGCAGCCCAGGTGTTCAGTCAGAGAGTTGGAAGTATAATGCTTTTACTCTCTGAATGATCAGGTGGGTTACTATAAAATCAGATAGTAATTTAATAATTGTTGTATTGTGATATTTTTCAATCATAATATTTTATTTTAAATAATAACTGTTATAGGTGGTAACGATAAACTGGAGAAATGAGCGTCAGATACTGCAAAACTCTGTCTATTTATGGATAAACTATTCGACAGCTTTAATAATAGTTCCACAGTTATTCAGCCTGTGAAGGAATACGTAGTGCTGTGACATCCACATCAATACATTGGCAATTCTGGAAGGACGCTCTATTGATATTGGAAAGTATGAATTTTGGAACCAGTAACGTCCCAACCATAAAAAATTGGATATCCACCATAAAAGGTTTTCAATATTTATGTAAAAAACTATTAAACAATGGTTTCAAATTTGTATCATTGCGCTTGTTTAATCAAGACCCAGTTGAAATTTTTTTCTGTCAGGTCCGCAGTCATGGCTTACGAAATACAAACCCAACTTGTTTCCATTTTCAAAATTCATTTAAATCTCTTTTAATTAATAATTTGATTTCTCCTCAATCTGTAGGTGCAAACTGTCAAAAAGATAATTGTGAAAATTTAACAACGCTTAAGCAATTACTAACTTTAAATAAATCATCTTCTAATGTAATCCAAATCAATTCACAAATAAACTTTTCTTCTATTACTCAAAATGTTGTAATTCCTCAAAAATCTAAGCTAGCTCTCTCATGTCAAACTTATGTTGCTGGTGCAATTGTAAATAAATTAAAAAAGTTAACATCTAATTGCAAATTTTATTTAGAAACTTTAAAGTCAACAAATGTCAAAAATGATCAAATTATAAAAGCTAGACAATACAATAACTGTTCTTTACAAACTCCTTCAATAATTTCAACCAACATATATGCACACATTTTAAGTGAATTTAACTCTACTATTATTCTTATATTTAAAGAACCAAACATAAAATTATATTTTTTAAATAACATTAATCCTAAACTTAAAATGACAAATATATGTATACATCATGATACTAAACATTTATTTATAAGTGCTGTATTCAATTTATTGATGTTTGCTTTTACAGCAAATGTAAATAGGGTACTAAAAGGTGAAAAATTAAAAATGCTTTGCTCTGAAGAGGGTACAATTATTCTTTGTCTAGCAGAAAACTATTATAAACATTTCAAAATGAAAAAACATACAATTTTAAAAAACTGTAATATTGTTATTGCATATTATTTTAGGTATTATCCTATGCGTTTTTTATATTATAAAAGGTATTATCCTATGTTTTTTTTTTTATATTATGTTAAGTATCATCTTATGTTTTATATAAAATGTATATTTATATGAGTATAAATATTATAACTATTATTATAACTTGTTTAATGTTAGGTATTAAGTATCCTTTGTTTTTTTTTATATTATGCTAGGTATTATCTTATGTTTTATATAAAATGTATATTTATATGAGTATAAATATTATAACTATTATTATAACTTGTTTAATATTAGGTATTAAGTATTCTATGTTTTTTTTATATTATGCTAGGTATTATCTTATGTTTTATATAAAATGTATATTTATATGAGTATAAATATTATAACTATTATTATAACTTGTTTAATGTTAGGTATTAAGTATCCTATGTTTTTTTTTATATTATGCTAGGGATTATCTTATGTTTTATATAAAATGTATATTTATATGAGTATAAAAATTATTACTATTATTTATTTATTTATTTATAAATATTTTAATTAACACATTAAGTTTAAATTAATAGATATAACAATAATATAATACAAATTCACACAAAATTAGAACATATGGAAAAACACAACATAATATAAACTAAATGGTAATACCTTAATTTAGTAATGTATAACTATGATACAACATATTTATAAATGATATTATTTAATTACTTATTAAAATCAAAATTAAGATTGTTCAGATTACGAAGCATTCTGTGCAAGGGGTGATTATGTCCGTATAATGTATTGTGAGTTGGAACTTGGAAGAGTGCGTGATTTCTGGAGAAGAAGGAAGGGATAAGAAAACTTATTTTAGAGAGGATATCGGGTGCATCTATGGTGCCACCTAGGAGCGAGGTTAAAAAGCGCTCATCAGCATCTTGTCGACGAGTTGACAGCATTGGTATACCCAATGAACTACGAATTAAGGAATAGTCATGCGTTGGGTGAGGTATCTTCATTATGTAGGCAATGTAGGAAAGAAATCTATTTTGTACACGCTCGAGTCTTAGTTCGTCTTTAGCTAGGTAGGGATGCCACACTACCACACCGTATTCTAATATAGAACGTACTAATGAGAAGTATAATGTGCAGAGACAACGAGCAGAAGAAAACTGACTAGTATTGCGTTTAATAAAACCCAATACTTTTAAAGCTTTACCTACAGTGACATTAATATGGTGCTCAAAATTTAATGATGGTGAGTAATGAATACCAAGATCTTTATAGAGGAAGACACGGTTAAGAGAAGTGCCATTAAGAGAATAGTTGTGGTGGATAGGAGATCGCTGCCTAGAAAACGACATAACATGAAATTTGCTTATATTAAGGCTAAGACCAATGGAGTACGCCCAACTTGCAAAAATATCTAGTTCAGACTGTAGGATATGACATTGATTAAGATTGTCTATTTTAAGGAATATTTTTATATCATCAGCAAAAAGAAGGAGTTTAGCCTTAGTGATCCATTTGGTTATCGAGTTCACAAACAAAATAAATAAAAGAGGACTAAGGTGGCCTCCTTGAGGGACTCCAGATGGTATTACAGCTAACTCCGAAACAGCATTTTTGATTTTTATGAATTGTTTTCTATCTGTGATGTAAGAGTGCAACCAAGATAGTAGGGGATTCCCAATGCCTAAGGACTTAAGCACCATTATAAGGCAATCGTGGTCCACTGTGTCAAATGCTTTATTAAAGTATGTAAAGATTACATCTACCTGACCTCTGTGTTCGATAACTTCTGATAAATAAGAGGAGAAGGCAACACCACTTGTAACGGTTGAGTTATGCGATCTAAAACCATGCTGCTCACTTATAATAAGATGATTAAGACTACGCTTTATTCTGGAGTATACAATCGATTCGAATAATTTACCAATATGTGGTATTATAGAAATTGGTCTGTAGTTTTGGATATCAGAAGCGTCACCAGATTTCAGAACAGGTGCTATAGAGGATATTTTCCAAACCTTAGGAAAAATACCTAAATCTAATGAACGCCTGAATAGTAAATATATTGGATAAGCAATAGAAAAACGATAATTGTACAAGCATTGAGCGGATATGTCATCTGGACCATTAGAGTAAGTATTTTTTAACGATTTAAGAGCGGAAAAAACATCGTCGACAGAAAACGTTATATCGGAAGGAAGTTCATAGGATAAGTAATCAGATGAGCCAGTAAATGGTGAAAGTTGGAAAGCCGAGGAATTGAACGTCGAAGAGAAATGAGTTGAAAACAGATTGGCTGATTCAGTTGGAGTATTTGAGGCAATATTACCGAGATGGAGTGATGACGGAATTGGAGGTTTCTGTTTTAGATTATTTACAAATTTCCAGAATTTGGAGGGGGAAGATGATAGAGCCTCCTCGGTATGCCTAATATGAGCAGAGTAATCAACTTTTGACTGGCATTTACATTTTGCTCTATATTCAGAGAAAACAAGATAATCAGATATCGACATGCTATAAACAGCATGGGCTTTCTTCTTGGTTATTATAACATTTTTGAGAATGGTGGATGTCCATTTAGGAAATTTAGAAGGTGAAAAAACTTTGATGGGAACAAACTTATTTATAGAGCTTAAAAGTGCATCGTTAAAGACAACAGCAGAATCATCAACTGAATAAAGCGAAAAAGTATTTTCCCAATCAAACGATCCTAGATAACGAAGCATGGATTTATAATCAGCCGATTTAAAATCACGGTATGTATGTGTGTCTTGAGCAGTTATCGGAGTTGGAAATGGAAAAGATACAAACAAAGGTGGGTGGTAAGAATCCGGAGAAACGATTGGAGTGTTGGCAAGTTGGACAGTAGGTGTGTCAAAACTAGAAAAGACAAGGTCAAGAAGGCATCCACGGGCATTAGGCACTTGGTTGAGCTGGTAAAAATTATAGTATGAGAAAGAATCGACAAGATGAGTAGAAGTGTTAGACATGGTAAAAGTTGCGAAAAGACCTTGGTTGCTTTTAGACCATTTAATAAGAGGTAGATTATAGTCACCACAGAGAAGAATAGTTGTAGGGTTGGTAGATGATATTAAGTGTTCGATAGAGCTGGTATGGGCCTCAAAATCTGGGAGCGTGGACATAGGTGGTAAGTAAACTGCACCTATAAGAATTTTAAATGAATTAATGGACAGAAGTGTATATACTTGCTCGAGCGAGTTGAGGTTTGTACAGATAAGAGATGTTTTAATATAAGACTTGATTGCAATGAGAACACCACCTCCTCGTGAGTAGTTACTGTTAAGATAATTTCTGTCAACCCTGAAGATTTGATAGCCATTGAGCCCAAGTTCAGAGTCATGGACGTCAGAAGAGAGCTATGTTTCTGTGAGGATAATAACATCATAACAAATAAAAAGGGGAATAGAACTTCTAAAATTACTTAATTTAGTTTTTAACCCACGGACATTTTGGTAGAAAATGTTTAAACTATTTAGATTACAATTCAAATGATTATTATTTTTAAAGCGGTTTACAAAATCAAAAAATTCAGTAGATGTATTAACAGATAATTTACAAAGATAACATGAAGCCAGGGGTACCAAATGAAAACATTGAGGATCGATGAGATATGGTGATGATTGACTGACGTCACCACAGGTCCCTGGGTGGTTCAAGCTGGTTAGTTTTTTGCTAGGGTGACATGACGATGAGTAGTATGATTTAATTGAAAATCCTTATTTGCCTGGACAATGGAAGGAACGCCGTTGAAATGTCTGACCACTATATTATTTTCTCCGTTCTTC